TGCTGCTGCTGCTTTGTTCGTAACCGTCGCCGTCACAGTCGTCAGCAGTGCTGCTGTAGCCGTCCGCGTGCTTGCCTTTACCAGCAAGTCCATCTCTTCGTCCAATCACCACCCATCCACTCATTAAACCTTCTATCCGTCTACTCTTCCGCTTATCCATCCATATTCCTCTATGTACCCGTCCCATCCGTCCAGCCACCCATCCATTCGTTGCCGCAGTCGTCGCCAAAAGTCGACGTCCAGCTGCGGTGATGTACCATAAGGCTTTTAATCATTCAACTGCTGTCATATATTTATTGCTGCTTTTCCATAACTCTTACCAATTCTGCCTTCCATTGTCCGAATCACAATAACCCTCTTCCCTCCACTCCCCATCCTCTACCTCTCCTCTGTTCCTTCACCATTCAGCCTGCCCTGCGTCATTTCCCCTCTCGCTGTGAAATCTGTTGTTTCAGACCATTTTTAGACCTCTTCATGCCTCAATTTGCTCTCCTTGTCACCATTATTAACCTTTTTTTGTTTTACATGGTGCTCTAGTCCAAAGGAAAAATTGAGTAAAACATTTCTGTTTACGCTCTTTTGGCTGTAAGTACCTCATAGACCAGCGCTCATTTTGTTCAGAAATCCTATTATTTATGCGAAAAAAAAAGTTTCTTGCTCTGGTGCATTATGATATGCTGCGTCGTTAAGGATACCTCTATCAATCTGAATTGATTGAGTTGAAATCTGTCTTTTTTCATACGTCAAGTTATATTCTGGAAAGAATGGTGATACCAGTGTTTTTCCTCTAATACGAAATGGTGTTTTCGTACAATATTATTTTAAGGACAGAACGATTGAAACGAAAAATTGAGTAAAACATTTCTGTTTTCTACTTTTCTCTCAGCTCGTCTTAAAAAAAGAAGAGGGAAAAAAGATAGGAAAAAATGGCTTTTTTTGCGCTAGTGACAAAAATTCGGCCTATTTTTTGAGTTAGAGCAAAAAAAATTTTCTTTTAACTGTATTTATTTTTCTCTTCTCACTAGTTCAGCTCTGACAACTCTATGAATGTTTGGCGTTCTCGTCGTCGTTTTCTCAGAATCCGTTCGCTGTCTGTGGTAAGGGGTGAAAAAAATTTTCATTTTCTCCAATCAGTGATGTTTTTTCAATTTACTTACTCCTTACGTACCCGTCCTTTTCCTTTCTCTTCCTTCTGTGCAGCGCCACTTTCAGTCGTGATAAAGAATCCGAAATTTTGGATTATTGGCAAAAAAAAAGAAGCATCCTAGTATTTTCTCTTATTCTCCCAGGTCGTCATCGAAACTTCGACACGGGCTTGATATTTAGAATTTTTACGTTGCGCTTGTGCATATATTTATTGCTCTAAATGGTTCGGATACATTTTACTATATAT